AGAATGGCCTGGCAACTACATCAGCCAATTCCCTCAGGACTCTGGGATGCATCTCATCATCTCCCATAGACTTGTGTTCACAGCTCTTATTCACAGCACATACTCTATACGTGACCTTGGGAGAACCTGGTGCAAAACCTGGTTAAGTTTCTGACTCTGAGCTCTTTGCTGGCATCTTCCCGGTAAGGTTCACACACAGGGGTGATGCTGAAGTTCTTCAGCAGTAAATGCTGCCCAATATTTAGATGACGTTTGCAAAACTGACTCTCGGGAAAGAATTTGTCATTTTGGCCTTTGTGTCCTAAGTTCCCACAGGTGCAGCAGTTATTTTGATGGAAGAACAATATAAAGTAGGTATTAACAGACTTGTCTGAGGGCTTTTCCTTAGTTTTCCAGGATTGCAAATATTTCTGGCTTATATAAAACCTACAGCATTTATGTGATAGCATTATCTCACATCATCTGTATAAAACTTTCTGGATTATTCAAGTCTGATGGTCAGGACTGACTCAGGATAATGTAAGTTCAATATTGTAACTTTTTCCATAAAAGTGCATATTCCACAGAACAATATGGAGGGTTGAATAACAAGTAGAAGAAGGGAGTTTTTTAAGAAAACCAGAGAAACCAGAATAAGAAGAAACCAGGAAGATGACTCTGGGATTTGTCTCACTCAGGAGAACTTCCTATCTTTTTTTTTCCTATGGCTAAGTCTCTTTATATATATATATGTGGGATATTTGGGAAAAAAAACTTAAGCAAAGATTTTTTATTAATATTTGGTGTGAGTAATTTGGAGCTCAGTTCTCCTTTGAAATATATAAAGGGGAACTTTTATCCAAAAAGATTAGTGGGAACTGCCCTGGAAGCTCAATGTAATCAGTGAAAGGCCATATATTTATTTGAATATCTTGTCCATTACCAACTAATTCCAAATTCTAGTAAGAGTCTTATATTTAAAGTAAGAGAGCTGTCTTGCTTTCTTGTCATTCATGTCACAAAAAACTACTTATTCTGAGCTTATTAAAATTCTGATTAAATTATCAGGCTTAGTAATGCTCTATATTTCGTTCCTCTCTAGTATAACTGCTATAGGACTGATTTCCCTAAAAAAGAAGCCAGTGGAATTATGGTGGAACATATGGGAAAAATTTGTAGAAAAATCCTATAGTTTCTATCATTATTCAGACCAATCCTGGCCATCCTTGCCATTTGTCTTGACCACAGAAGTTGTTCTTGAAACCTACTTCTATAAGAATTTGTCTGTTGTTCCAAAAAATTTCCAATTTTTCTCACAATGATTTTCAAGAGGAAAGATCTTGCATTGTGCAAAAATAGGTATATTCTTACTGATGAGTTATCTGCATCAGACAAAGATGCAATGCTGAATTTTACCTGTTTTTTTAATCTCTATGTCATTCTATGCTGATTTTCATGGGAGAAAAATGTATTTACATATGACTGGTGGGATCTTAATTACTTTTAAAACTATCATTCTACTTTATATGAGACAAGCAAAAATCTCAAAAATCATGAGAGGAGAGCTTTCTGTTTTATAGTCACACAACGGTTAAGTGACAGCAAGGTATACTGCACAGAGAACACAGTCCAGTATTTGGGATACTTTTCTTTGAAGATGCAAGTTCTGTGCTTTGGTCTGACATAGATTTTCTCTGTGACCTTGGACAACACACTTAGGTCTTCAAGGGCATTGAGAAAGGACTTGGAAATACCAATTATTTGGTAAAATATATTAATGTTTGGGCATCTCCAAAAAATCACGAGGTGCCTGTTTTGATCTCTTGAAGCCTGAATACCTTAAAAAAAAAAACTTTAATGGATCTTTTTACACTGAGTTAGAAGCTTAATCTGTACAGTCAATAGCAAAATGCAGGAGATAGGATCCTACTTCCCAGCTGACTAATTCAGAAGCCTCAGGTAGATGCCTGAAATAAAACAATGTCAATCATTGTTCCTTAATGGACTTCTAAAGCAGTCAGGAAATGGCTCAATCAAAGAGCTCAACAGTTGCTGCTGCTAAAAAGGATCATCTCTGCTGCTTCTAATGGTTCCTCACCCTTCCTGGCTGTGCAGTTCTGCACTTCGCCTTCAGACATGTTCCAGTGTTTATCTGAGCCTTTGGTTCAGACAGCAAATGTAGGGAATATGGATACAGAAAGTGAGCAACTCTTTGTTAATTAATGAGCTAAAGTAGTTCCATGAGGATCAAGCCAGTGCTGCAGTGAGGGAAACAGGAGAAGAGGGAGTGCAAAGGAGAGTGAACAAGCCTTGGATTGGCTTGTCCATCTTCTCTGACTCAACTTCACCTGTAAAATAATGATAACGGCATCTCACTTCTCGTACCTTCTTTTTCCCTCTTCAGCTTCCTTCCACATTCCCTAGATACTGACAGGATCTTGGACAGCAACTACAGGAGCTGATTTAGCTGCCCACATGCAGATTGCCCAAATGGTACTCATAGCTAATGAAGACATGGCCTCCAGAACTGGTAACTGTCTCCACTGCAGCTTTTCTTCTTTATTTTAATTTTTCTTCTTAAGTGCTAATTACTACAATACTTGTAGGGATGTAGAACTTGTTCTGAATTATACCTTTTAGTCAACCTGAATTCAAATTCTCCATATCCAAATCTAAAAATTCTTGGAGGCGACTTGATGGGGAGGACAGACAGGAAAATAAAACTCCATCAGCCTCAGGTCCTCAAGAAACCCAACTAAAAAGCTCACTTTAACAAATGAGTGCTGTATCTGACCCATTTTAGTATTCTCTGGCCAACATATTCAACTTGGTTCAACTTGGTTGCTACAGAGAGTTTACACAATGAATGGAATAAACTCTTTGTGTTCTATAGAATCCCAAGGTACAAATGCCTTTCCCTTCCTACTTCCTAGCAGTATAAAGAAAGGAAGTTCTTAATTAAAAGGCTAATTTCTTCATGTTCTTGAACCTTCTTTTTAAAGCCATCTATTAAGCACCACATGGGAGAACCTGTGATAGTGCTAGTCAGAAACTCACTGAGGAAGTGCATAGGAAATGACTTAATTAAAAATACAAAATGCTGTTATACTACACTGACTGAGGAAAACTTTGGCTCTTTTGGACAAGAAAGAAAATTTGAGTTGAATTTGAGTTGTTTGTAAATGAAAAAATATTCTAATTTCAGAAAAGGAGCAGGGAAAAGAACTGTTTTTCAAGGGATGTCAGATCACCAGCTAAAGATAATGTCATAGGAGTTTAGAGAGAGGAGAAAAACTTAAGATTTATTTTATTCCTGCTGATGGATTCAGAAATATTTGCAAGGGAGAGGAAAACAGAATGACATAAGGAATATGATTGACGTGTATGGAACGCTGGGTTAATCCATGGCAAACAGAGCTGGATGTGACTAAAAGTCTTTTCGGGGTGTGATCATGAGCACAAATTCAGGCAAAACAGATGTGCCAATTCATTTTTTGTGCCTTTATCCCCTGATGACGGGGCATGTGAATGCTGCCCATCCTGCTGCTGCTTCCATGCTTCCCTCCACAAATGCCCTCCCTACTCAGCTGGCACGAGGGGGAAGGTGAGCAGTGCCAGAGGGTGGATTTGACAGGAGCAGAGGCACTGGCTGGGCTGCACTCGCAGACAGCAGTGAGAATCCATGATATATCTCTTATTAGCATCCATTCCTGACCTGTGGCTACATGATAATGCAATCTTTACCACCTCTCTTAAATAAAATTCTGGTAATTATGGGTTTTTTTGATAGAAAATTTGTGTAGGCTTCTTGTTAGTATGAGGATGCATAGTGCATGGTAGATCAGAGTGGAGGAGTGTGATTCAGTCTCTCCTGTCATTCACTTTGCATGTTGGCTCCTTGCTGAACATCACAGATTGGGCTTTCTGTTTTTTAGTTCATAGTTGCCCATTCTGAAATTGATAAAAGTCTGCTCTAATGTCTTAACTGCACTATTCTGATGTGTTCTTCTAACCTGTCATTCTTGACAAACTAGATTGTTGATTTGCTTAACTCTTGACACCATCTAATAATCTGGTGGCATAGGGGTTTTCTTTTTAGTGTGTCATGAGAATATCTGGCTTCACTAGGCTGGAGGCTGGGCTGCCATGGGTAAAGGTGTCCACCAGATACTGATCTTGTTTTTCTGGTGCCTCGCATTTGGTCGCTTGGTACTTTTATTACGGTGCCGGGAGGAAGCTGAGTGCTCTTTTCTGTGTGTTAACGCCAAGATTGCTTTGCAGACAACATTGCTAGAAATTCTATGTTTATATACAATTTACATACAGTTACGCAGGTACATCTTTGCTGTTCGGTGCGTGAATTTCAAGTTGTTCCACAGACTTCCGCGCCAGGTCCCGAACGAGCTGTCGCACGGCGCTGTCAGCGACTCCAGGAGCGGACACGCCTATCCAGCACTCCAAGGAGCTGGAGCACTGCCGCGCTGCTCTCCTTGGCGTTCCTGGCTTCTGCCAGCGGCACGGCTGTCCCCGACTGTCGCCCTCTGCGGCACCGCGCCCCTCGCCCCGCCGTGTGCGCCCCTCGCCCCGCGCATCACCGCGCCCGGGAGCGGCTGCGGCCGCGGTGGCTCCGCCAGCGCTGCCCCGCCCCGCAGCCGCTCCGCGCCGGCACACGCACACCCAGACCCGCACACACACACACACACAGCCCGCATACACCCCGCAGACAGCCGCGCTCCCGCCCCGCAGAGCCGCCTCCGGCAACGCCCCGCACCGCGGCGGGCAGGGCAGAGCAGGGCAGGCAGGGAAGGGCAGGGACGGAGCGCGGCGGCGGCGCGGAGCCGCCCGCCCCGGCCCGGCCCAGCATCGGCCGCCGCCCCCCGCATCGGCCGCCGCGGCGCGGAGGGCGCAGGGCGGTGCGGGCCGTGCGCTGCCGCCAGAGCAAGCAGCAGCAGCAGCAACAGCAGCAGCAGCAACAGCAGCAGCAGCAGCAGCAGCAGCAGTAGCAGCAGTTCCGCGGCTGCCGAGCCCGAGCCTGAGCCATGTCTACCAGAGGTGGGTTCTCCGCCGCGCCGGGGCAGCGCCGGGCTCGCGTCCCTGCAGGCGGCCGGAGCCGCGCTGACCTTGCTGCCCGGCCGCGCTGCGGTACCCCGCACCCCGGGGCTGCGCCGGCGATTTCAGGGCAGGAGGAGGCCAGGGGATGACCCTCGGCGGCTGTCGCCTGCCCGGTACCGTTCTGCAGCCCGGCCGGGCGGGGGGCTCCGCCGCAGAGCATCCTCCGGGGCCGGGCACCCGCCGCACCTGCCGGGAGCGCGGAAATCCCGTTCCGCCTTCCCCGGAGCCCGGGGGGCGGCTGTAGGGGCACGGGGAAGTGAAGTGCGGCTCGGTACGCGGTAATTGACGGTGGGAATGTATGGATGTATGCAGAGAAAGGAACATGGTGGTGAGGGTGGGCGCAGGGTCAGACCTCGGCGGGTGTTGCTGCTCAGGGAATGGTAACGGATTGGAACTGGGAGTCTGATGAGCGCACTGAGGCATCCGGCTTGTTCTGTCATTGGTAACGCAAGTGCTCCTGGTAGGGTGTGGTGGTAAATCCGATCGTCGGTTTGTACCTCTGATGGACATTTGCATCTGGCTTGAAATTAACGTTTTGAGTTTTACTTCAGATTTGCGTTTTTTAAAATTATGGCCTAAACTTGAATAGCCTTTGTCTTTTGCATGCATTTGTGTGTAAACTCTGTGTGTTTGCTCATTCTGGGCTGAAGATGAACTGATCAGCCTCATTGATTGCAGATTTCATATTGTCCCAAAGTTCTGCTTCCAGTATGAGAAACCGGCACAGGTGTGGCACAAAGATTGATGCTTTAGGGTTTTTATTATAGTTAGTATAAATAAAAGGACTGGAGACATAAAGTTAAGCATTTTCTGAATGTTGTCATAACAAAGCAGAAATACTTGCAAGCATCTCCTGAAGACAGACCATGATCTGCACAATAACGACAAGTAAAACCACTCCCTGGCTATCTCTGACTTGAAACAAATACTTTATAAAAATTATATATTACAGATTGACAAACCTCCGAATGAAAGGATGCATCTTATTTATTCATCCTTTGATCTCTCTATATCTTCATGTATTGAATACTGCTCAGCATGGACCAGTTCTTTCATCTGCTTGAATTCCTGTTGACATCCAAAGGAGCTTCATGCACATTGAAGACATTGTGTGACTCCTAAAAGGTTGTCGGCATTTTGTGGCTATGACCATACTCCTAAAGCATCACACCCATTTTAGATATAAATAATAAATGGTGTTAGAGTGGCATAATTCTTCATGGAACAGTAGATTTCTTGCTTTAGGGAGAAATGGACTATATTGGTCTCCAAAGAATCCATTTCTGAGGAACACTAAGTATATGAGCATCAGCGATGTGCTAGGCTGCATTAGTACTTGTGGGGAGCACCCAGCAAAGCTTTATAACCTGGAGCAGATTTGTTGTTATTGAAGGGGTACCTGGATTTGAAAAAGTGACATAAAAACTTCGCAATTTCAGCTTTTCAGATGACTCACAAAAACTAACCCGTACAGAATGGGAAGCCAAGGAACATTTCCACTGGCCATATTTCCCTTTCCTCCCCCTGCTGTCCCTCTTTCCCATTCGTCTTCACAACACATGATGTTTGATGCCTGCTTAATTCTGCTGGAGAGCTGCCTGGAGAAGGAAAGTGAATTCTTTCTTAGTCCCTCTTGTACCATCTAATTTTTTTCAGTTTTAATTAATAGGAGAGAGAGAGAGTGAGACAGTCCATAGGACTGTAGGGAAGTATTGAATAAGATTCATGAAACAGATGAAGATATTGATTTCTGTCAATATATCCTCTTAAAGTTTAAGAAGGAGATTTATGTGGAAAATACGTGAGTGTGGGCAAATAAATAGATTTATTCAGTGCTGACCAAAGGCTGTTTGTGTGTAAAACATTATAGACCATTGTCCTTATTAATCATTTCAAACCGTACTGCTGTTAACAGTCAACATAGAAACTTACTTTTGCACATTTGAGTGATATGACAGATCTTCATGAGGTTAGTTACTCATGAGAATGTAGCACAAGTAAGAAGTGAGTCTTTAAGGGGTTGTTTGAATGCCAGGTGGGGGCCCTGTGCTTCATGAAGGCAGATTACCTCATGCATATGCAGTCTCATTAAAAACACTGTATCATTATGGTCTGCAAGCTCAGCGAATATTGATTGTTAATATTTTATGTGGTGTTAGATGTCCAAAGGTGATCATTATTATTCTGAATGCATCAAGCACTTGGAGCTGTCTGCTTGTTGATTATAAACCAAGCATAACTAGCATAGCAAAAGAGTTAAACATTCACCCGTGACATTTTTCTTACTAAACTGCAAAGGATATTCAAGGGATAGTAAAAAACATCACAGTGTTATTGGTGTTCAATCTGTGCAGCTCTCTATTCATCTCTTTTGCTCCAGGAGGCAGCATGGTGTAGTGAACTGACTGCAACAGATGACAGAAGAAACTCCTGAAATCCAGCAGTACCTCTCGACTTTTGGACCATTCCTTTTTACTCCTCTGCTCTAGTTCCCTGTTGTTATTTAACCAAAACTACCCATATAGTCACTTAAATTAAGACAGATTATATAAATCAATACATAAATTATAACTACTAACAAAAATTCATGTAATTTTGCCTTAAATAAAAGTCTGGATTAAAAAGTTTTATGCTTCCCTACTTGTACAATGAAATAATGGTAGCTATGTTTTTCAGAGGGGCTGCTTTGAGGACTAATGTCTCACCTGTACATTAAGATGAATTTCCTGAAACTTTCCTTTTTTCCTTCCACTCTTCACAGACCTTGTTGTTGCAGTCCTTCACACCTGTCTCCCACCTCCTGTTGTTATGTAAATGGAAGGTCTCTAACATTCTTCCACCATTTTCCTTGTAGTATGGCTTTAGCAGATGTGTTGACCAAATGCCAGATGAAGCAGCACAGACGAGTATTCCCAGAAGTTTGAACAAATAATAATTTTGGAAATCTTGTGACTGAACTAGGAGCTGAAACAAACTTTGAAAAATCACTTCTTTCTTCCCTGTCAAGTTGGAGTCCTTCCCAGGGCACTTTCATGTCCTGCTCTACAGCCTGTTGGGATCAGTGGAGAGCTGCCATTGACGTCAGTCAGGCTTTTTAGTTTTGCAGTTTGCAAAAGGCTTAATATTCTACTTGCAGCTGTTGTTAAGTAGTTGCTGTTAGGACTCATACATGAGTGAATTTGGGTGTTGGAGTAAGCCTTATAGATTGTTGCTTACCTAAGGGCTTGTTTGCAAAGAGCTGTAAATTCCCTGGATGAAAGACATTTTTCTAAAGCCAAGTATAACTGTGACCTACTTGTGCATGTTATCTCGCACTGCTTAAAAACTGTCAAAACTACTTGTTATCATGAAGGTCTAAGTTAATGGAAAAATGGCTATTTTTAACTATTATAATCTTCAGTTTGCTAGAGCAAACAGGCACAAATGTGAGTGTTTGGTGTGATCAAATACAAAGATCTTTGCAATTTTTTTCCCCTAAATGTTGAAAGAATTAGCATGAACTGTATTTAGCCCAGTAGCAACTACTTTAGGAAGACGTAGATGTGCGAAATATGAGGTTTATCAAGACTGGTGTGGTTTTTTTTATGAAAAAGTCACTGAATTTTGACAGAAGCAAGTGTTGAAGAAATATTATTGCTGTCCAGTATTAACAAATTGTTGTGTGCCATCCTGATGCTGCTAATGTGAGTATTGTAGAGAAGGCAGGTGCAGTTTTTAGCCTACTCAATGGTCAAAGAAGTAGAGTTGTTTACCTTAAGAGTTTTTTAATACTACAATCCTTGTCTTTCCTCTATGACTTTTTAACAAATGTAGATCAAACATTTCTCATTTTAGACAAATAAATCACCATTATAGTAGTGACAGAGAGGATTTGTCCTCATTTTACAGGTGAGACAACTCCTGGACTTTTTTTTTTCTTTTCCCTGAGTCTGAGGGTCAGGTCAAAACAGGGGAATTTCTGCCTTGTGGGCCTCTTCTCAGACTCTTCATTTGTTCTTACACAAGTTGATAATAAAGTTCTAACAGCAGATGATAAACTTCAACTCATTATTTTGTGCTTTGGTAGTGATTCTTTCTTCCTGGACACTGCACATTTCTTGGTTGATCTGTCTTCCGGTTGGGAACTTTTGTGTGGAAAAAATCATCAATTTTTCAATGAGAAATTTACATACTAAATCTTGAGTTCCTACCATTAACAGTCTTTATTTTTCTTTTCCAAATCTAATTCTCCTCGGATAGCTGTAGACATGGCTGCTGTTGCTGGCAGCAATGGTTTTGATTGAAGTCTATGCTGAGCGATTTAAAAACTTGCTGCTGGGAGCTTCTGGTCAACATTTTATTACGGTCTGTGATTTTCAGGGTAACATTGCTCTTATCTAAAGGGACTAGCCACTTAAGAGGTGGCTGCTGTATCCTTTTCTAAAATTTAGTGCTGTGTTTTTCTACTTGTTGTCAGAGGTATTTATTTCAGGCATGTCATGATGTCCCTAATTCGTGATGTGACTATTTCATGGCTGTTACCAAACGCTCTCAGGCTGAGTGACCGGAGAGTGGGGCAGTGTGAGCTGGCTGGCCATTTCCTTCATTTTAGAAATTGAAAATTTTAGCATGTTTATGGTAGCTAAGTATTGTCGTTTCAATGCTTCCAGTCCTAGTGATTTTCCCCATTTTCCTTGCTTCAAGGCTCCATAGCCCGAAGGAAGGTGTTCTTGGCAGGCTCTGGGGCTCTGCAGCACTACCTGAGGCAGGCTGTGTGTGCAGTCGTGCCAACACAGCTGTTTCCCACTCGCAGTACCTATGCAGGGCAGGATTTGGAACTGGCTCTGAGAGCTTTTCTCTCCTCGGCTTTTGCCCCGAATTTCTTCTGTACCCATTTCATACTGTTATTTAATCCTGTCTGTGCTTTCTGTTTATTGCTTCTAAATGCATGTCATAATTTATGCTTTTTTCACAACTCATTTTAGGGTTTAAACCTCAATTTAATGGCTTAAGTAGCTCAGAATCAGCACGTGAATCATCAAATCACTGAAAGCAGTACATGTCTGTACATGAGAACCAGTGGCAGCACCTGAATCTTTAGGCCTGGTAGAGCTTTTCTTTCAGTTGGAAAGAAGAATATTTTACAGAGCTATCTGATTTAAACAGCAGTATCTCTTTTAAGCTGGTTCTTTTTAAGGTTTGATGCCTTGTCCCATGCCTTTTTTCCCCCCTCAACAAAGCTTAGTCTTTGCTGAAAATTAGTCCTGAATGCATGGAAAAAGTTGCATAGACTAATGGCAACAACAAGAGGAAACTGGGACAATGAGGTAGAGTCTATTTTAGATGCATGGTTTTGAAAGGAATTGCAAAGAAGGAAAATAAGCATCAGCCTATGGAAGGAAAAGCAGTAAAATTGCTTTTAGTGAAGAACACCAGAACCTCATGTGTTCCACAGTCTCTGAAAACAATCTTTTGGGGATTTCTATTTTTTCTTTTAATAGATCTGAATTGAATATTTCAAGTTATTTTTTAATCTAATCTGTTAGTAATTGAAGATGAAAGCCACACATGGTTAGTTCATGTGACTGGTGTAGTATTTCTTAGTTTTGCAGTGCTAAGGCAGAATCACACTGTGGAAAACAGACTTTTGCATGTGAGTTCTGATACCAGCAAGTAGCCTTATATTTTTTTTGTGACACACTGTTTAGGTAAAATATAGTTAGGTGTTGTTCTTCATTGAAACCTAAAGAAAACTCCTAAACATTATAGAGCAAGAGCAGAGAAAAACTGTGAATTCTCAGCCTTTATTATGTCATGTTTTCAGAAAGAAATAAATTTTCAGAAGCTCACACCCAAGTCAGAGTTCCCATATGTTGTGGAGAGAAATCCTTAGTTTGTAAACAAGGTTGGGCCAGACAGGCTTCAACAAGGTACACCGGTGTGATGGGGCTGTTTTATATCCTTCTTTTCCTGTTTGCAATCCAGAATTTAATCCAGAATTAGGGCTTTGGTGAATCATTTTGCCCCATGTAACTGATGAAATGCAGCCACATCCACAGTGCAGTGCCTGCTCTTCATGTGCATGTATTTGAGTTAAAGTGCAGAGTTTTATTGAGAGCTGAATAGGAGCTACCTCTGACCACCTGCCCAAGTTCTTGTGTGGGTTCTGCAGCCTGTGTTGGCTTCTGTGCTGCTGCAAAGTTTGTTGTGGACAATTTACATATCCTTGGAGTTATTTCTTCATGGATAGAAAAGATGGTGTGCACTTCATGTTTGTTGAAAACTGTTGCTCTGCTCCTCCGACTGCCACATTTTGAAGTGGAAGGAGGATCTGGTCTCATCATTGTGAAAAAGATTGGTGTGTGGAAAAGTGTGATGAGGCAGAGAGTTCTGTGGCAGCAGTATGCCCTCTGCCTCCAGAGAGGAGGTTGCTGGCATTTTCCTGCTGTGCTGGTAGGATTGCAGGGAGAAGTCCACGGGGGAGATGCCTGCTCTGTGCAGCTGTGACTGAGGGCGCTCTGAACAGAGCGTGAAATGGGAAACATTGAGAAGATGATGTTCTCAAAGGTGAGGCAAAAGGTACTTTTATACTCTGTGGTGTATTTGCAGTTTCATCTGAGAGGGTGGTACAAGAAAACCAGTGCAAGCCAGCCAGCAAATTGTGAGGTTCAGACTTCCTGAAGCCTTTAGACCTGTGCCTGTTTCTCTTTGGAGCATGCTGAAGACTGCAGTATGTGTTACTATTCATTAATGAAGACAAGAATGTTTTTTTCTTTTTCTTACAGACTTTTTTTATGGTAACTTAGTGCCATGGCACTAAGAAATTATCCTTTTCGACCACCCCAGTCAGAGGGGCGGTCTTAGAAAAGAGGGCTCTACAGGAAGGGCATGATAAGATGTTCTGGTTTAGTGCTTCCTTACTAATAAATATATTTTATTCTGTTTCTGGAATGGCAAAACAGGTCATGTATTGTCATAGAGATGGACACATTTTAATAAAAAGTGTGAAGCTGAAACAGTTTTTGCAACATTTTTTTAGTACTTGTCATTCCCTTTGCTGTAACTGGCACCTCAGCTTAATAAATGGGCTCTCATTTTAGCTATCAGTTTAAATCTTATACAAGTAAGGACTGTGAGATTTCACTCAATGAAAGGATTCTGCTTTAATTACTGTTATTATAAATCTGATTTTGTTTCTATTACATCAGGCTCGTATGAGGCATCTTTGATCAGCAGAGAAGTCAGCAAAACTGCTGTTTAAATTACAGTTTCCTTTTAACTCGTGATGAAAGCTTTCAGTTTATTTTTGGCATTAGAAAGTCTGGGAGACAACCAGGTTATATAAGAGCTGAAACCTAGTTAATGATAAAGAAACATAGCTAAGAGCCTATAATAACAACAAGTCTGAAAAAGATGTTCCAGCTCTAGCTCTTGGCCCTGCTTACAGAATATGTAAAACAGTTTATGCCAAAGTAATGGCTTTCTCTGGTGTCCTGGGATACCACTTCTCTTAATCAACGTTTGTGGGAGAGCTGACTTCCAGGAAGACTGTGAAAGATGAATGAATTTCTTAGAATTAGGGTGTAAAAGAAGAGATGAATTTAGGACTTGCTGTGTCACTGAACAGTAAACACCTTGTTCAGGGGAACAGGAACACGGTTGAGCCTGTGGTCAACAGACAGTGTGGAAATCAATGGTTTTCTCAGAATGAACACCAAAAGCAGAAAAACATTATTTTTCTTGACTGAAAGCACACCTGAGTGAAACTCAAATCTAAGCACCTTTACAATTAAGTTCAGTTGCAAAAAGAATTGTGCTGAGTATTATCCACGTGGCAGTATTTTCTGCCTGCTAATGAAAGCCAGCACAATGTGAGTATCCTGGTTATCTCTACCTAGGACTTGCCTTATCCCAGTAGGAAGGGCGTGTACAGGTGTGGACAGGCTGTGCCAAGGTGTGTGTGAATGCCTCTGTCCCACAAGAGGAGATCTCCAGATGTCTTGAGTGGTTTATAATGAGCAGAGATGTAAAACCTATTTCCTCTCACTGGAGGTATGCCCAGCCTTACTTTCCCTAATCTTGGTTTCACCTTTTCTCATAATTGTCCTCTGCATACGAATGTAGATGCACAAGACACCATTTGAATGTTTCTATGACCATCTGCTGCTGCTGTATAAATTTCTCTTTTATTTTCCTCATAAGCCAATAAAATAATTAAATGATAATCCAAATCATTAAAAACTTGTGGCATATGTAAATAAGAGCAAAACTTATTGCAAGAAGACTGTATTGTTATATAATAATGTGGTTATCCAAAACTGTTTATTCTACTTTATGAGCTGGAGATAATCCCAAAATTATTCAGTCCAGTCTTTGATCTAAGGAAGAATAATAAAACTTTGATCATTGTTGAATTGGCAGCTGCTATAAAAAGCCTATGTTATATTTCTCTCTTAGTAACACTAGCTAAATCCAAAATCACTGATAAAAGATTTTGTTGATTGCAGCTTAAGGATGCTTTCAGACTTGACCTGAAGTGATCTCTGTCCAAAAAATGTCTATAAATACTTTCTTCAATTTTCTGTTGCCAGATGTTTTGATATTTGAGATGAATGACAAAAATGTTTTGTGGACTTAGATGTGCAGTGCACATTTGGAGCCTTGTTTTTCAAAGAAAAAGGTTCTGGTTAACCAATTAGGTTCATGTGTCATTTGATTCATTTGCAACAAAATTCTGGTACCATTGTCTTTATTTCTATCTTTCTGAAAATGCCATTTAAATGTTTTTAATTGCGAGTGTCTGTGACTGTTTTACAGTGGCCACAGTGATACCATATTTGTTTTCATGCTTGCAACATAGTAAATATTTTCCTAGATGTTTATGCAGGAAACAGCACTTGTGATGCCCTTGCTTTAGAGCTGGACAGGGGGAAGCTTTCTAGCTTTATTATTATAAAACTTATAATAGAATGTAAACAAAAAATGCATTTTTTATCATATGTTAGGATTTTTGTATATTTGGATTTATAGGTGTCAACGAAGCTTGTAGGCTATTGGACTTTCTTTGGAACTTTTGAATTTCTACCCCAATAGATTCAATAAGGAAAATGGCTAAAAACTTAAACTCAAATGGCAGCTTATTTTAGATTCTTTAAAATATTTTTTATTTCCAGATACAGCATGACCTCAGTCCTTAGGTAGTGCAGGGTTTTTCAGATCTGTGTGGCAGGGGTGTAGAGAGGTTCATGTAGCATTTGCCTAAGTGTTTCAAGAGTCAAGTGGCATGAAAGGGCTGTAGCTTGCTCTTCCTTCTGCCAGGCTGGCCTGGCACTGTGCATTTGGCTTGTTCTGTACAGCTTGTGGTGGTACAAAAGTTCAGCAGGGCAAGAGCCAACCTTTCCCTTCCTTTGAGTTTTCCTGCTGACTGGCTCCCTGCTTGACGCAGGTACTCTGCAGATCTAAGGTTTCCTTTAGGAACACTGGTCTTGTGGTTTGGCCAATAAATCCTGTTGAGTTAAAAATGTTCAAAATTTAGGTTTGGGAGACTTTGTTTCTTCTTGCAATAGCAATCTTCCCCTCTTTCACTTGTCCTCTGCTGACAGCATTTGTGGATGCTGGGAGTCCTCATTTTTCCTTTCTGCAAGGCACAGGCCAAGTAGACCAGTACTGTAAGATGCATTTTATTCTCTGTCCATTGTTGCCACTCTGTATTTATCAAAAGCAAAAAGACTACGTGCCTGAAGGGAGATTAAGAATCCTACCATCTTGCTATTTCTGATGCTCAGGAGGTATTTTTAGTAAAGGTTGTTGGTGCTGCTGCCCAAGGGAATGGCTGGGAGAGGGTAGGTCAGGAGCAGCCAGCCAGAACTAACGGGTGCCGTGGCTGGAGTGCAGGGAAGGGGTAACCCCAGCAGAGATCCTGTTGGTGGCTGTGTGCATGCACAGGAACATGGATGTGGACACACAGACACATTGGGAGTCTGTGTGGGGAGCAGCTGAAGAAACTGGAACCACCTGTGCAGGCATTTGAAGGAGGGGAGGACATTAGTTCATGCTCTGTTCCACACAATTTCCTGAAAGATTAGTGGAGTTACATGAAATGTTTTTTTCTGTGATACTCAGCTTCCATAGCTGAACCTTTCCTCCAAATTTACAGATCCAGCGAGATCTGTATGTTGCTATTAGACTATGACTCAGTTTACCAAGGAAGCAGGTCAAGACTGAGCCTTCCACCCTTACAAAATTTGCTTCCTACCCTTTCCTCTGGAGGCTGAGAAGCTATGAGAGCAGTGGGTGAAGGAGACCTCACGAGCTGTGGAGAGTGGAGGAGCTCACCTGAGGATGGTGAGCAAAATAAACATACTTAAAGCAAGAGAGGCAAGAGAGTGTGTGTGAAAATCTTTCTTGAAGCTGGTACAGAAGCAGAACTGACACACACAGAACGGCCCTGGATCTAAAATTATTAAAAGAAATAGGAATAAAGAACATTTGGAGAGTTACAGAAAGGAGTTGCAAGTGCTCTGGTGTCAAAAAGCTTGTTTTTATATCTTTATTTTTTGGGCCCCCCAAGTAGCCTAGTGGTCTGTTAAGGGGAGTGTGTGCTGAAGCAACTGTCCTTGGAATTGCTGCAAATATTTTAGTGATTTTCTGAAGGGAGTGGAGGGAAGTGTTGGAATGTAATAGCCTGAGGAAAAACTCTTTGCTGCCTAAAACCTCTGAACGCTTCACAGACTGATCTAGGAGCTGGTGCTCTGCCAGATCCTATTTTTAAGCAATTAGGTTTATGAAGTTATGCTTCTCCAGCAGCAACACACAAGCATAGGGCCTGGAAAGGGAGTGGGGTGTTGTGTGCAAGCATATGACATTGGGGGGAAAAATATAAACCTAAGTTAGGTGCCATTGTTTCCATGTTTCCATGTTTCCATGTTTCCATGTTTCCATGTTTCCATGTTTCCGTGTTTCCTAGCAAAGGGCTAATCTTAAGTGAGACTCAACAGCTCCTGAATTACACGGTCTACTTAAAAGTAGGATCTGCTGCTTTCCTTGAATACATAATTAATTTTTTTTTCTACTAAAGCTTTCATTTCATTGCAAGTTACTGTTTCAGACAGAAGTATTAGGAGTTTTCCTAGGGCAATGAGGAAAGCCCATCAGCTGGGGCATGTAAAGAAACTAGAAAATATGCCAACAGGAGTCCTGTGTTAACTCACTGGGAATGGGTTGATTACCATTTAGTTTTGATTTCTGGCTTGTCTAAAGGCACCCACATGTGCAGGCAAAACTGATCAAAAGTGTTTCCATGAATGTAACAGTAGTTTTTCTGTTTACAAAATACTCTTAATGTAAAAGAAATTGGAGAGACAGAAAAAATAGCGGGAAGAGAAAATAAAGTCCACAGGAATCACTGCTGCTGCCTAAACACCAGTAATGTTCAGTAATTAACAGTTCCAAATTTAACAGCTGTAGACAGAATCTGTCTTCCTTTATGCTGGCTGGAAAATTCAGTTTACTTACTGTGTTCTCATTTTCCGATTTCCAGCAACAAATGTTGTTTGTCTGAGATTTTTCCAAATTCTAGGATAAAAAAGAATGTTTTGACACCATGATGGGAGAGCATTGCTGCATTTATAGTTCATGTTACTGTGCCTACTCAGAATTTCTTTGAAGTGTGGAGTCCTTAGTAAAACATAAATTGATGTTTCTTTCCTAGATTGAATTCCAGAAACAATACTCATCATGGACTGAAATAGTTTTTGGACTCTATTAAGTTTAATTTTCTGCCCCACCCTCCTTAATTTCTGTAATGCAAAATAATCCAGTAGGAAATCTTTAATTCATCTTTTCATTCTGTTCAACATTACTAACCACCAGTATTTATGGATTTTGTAACATTCTATTCTTAAGACTTGATCTTGGGATCATAAATGTTTAGTATCAAATTAATTTTCCACTAGGAACTGGAAGTTAAAAGCCTTTCTAAAATGGTTGTTTTCCCATTCTGAAAATGTCCAGTAGTACTGTGCTTACACTTGAGCATATTCTGCATTATCAGAGGGTGAGGCAGACACAGAATATTGATGTTTCCTGGGTGTTACAAAAAATATCAGCATATCTTTTATTTTTTGTCTGTTTCTTGCCTGAATGACTGTTTAGAAACTGCAATGCTTATTTTATGGGGAAAGAATATATTGGCAAAAAGTGATTTTTGATATTGGACCTCTTGGAAGACAAGCTGTATTCTCTTTGGTTATGTAAATTTGGAATAATTGTGAGTCCAGCAGAATAATTCCAGATTTGTGCCAGTCAGAGAGGAATTGGTCAGATTTTTGGTGTGGTATGAAGCAGAGGAAGATATTGAGCATAGGACTGGTTGTAGGGACAGTTGCCTGGGAGGCACACAGCCTTTTTAAGGCCATTTCAGCATTAGCAGTTTGTAATTGCTGTGGTTTAAGCCCAGCCAGCAGCTCATCCCCACTCAGCCACTCACTCACTGCCTTCCGAGTGGGATGGGGAGAGAGTCGGAAGGGTGGAAGTGAGAAAACCCGTGGGCTGAGATAGTTTAATAGGGAAAGCAAAAGCCACACACAAGCGAGGCAAATCAAGGAATTATTC